AATAAGACCTTCCTTAGTAAACGGAGCCACAGTGCCACGAAGATACACGGTTTCTTCCACAGTTCCTAACTCCTTTTGTCAGCACAGGGAGCAATAGGTCTGTACTGGCCCTTTCTACTTAAACATGTAGGCCTTCTGAGAATGGTTGGGCCATATCTTTGGGTCATTCTTTTGTTGCAACCCAGGTCCGATCGTGAACATCCCTCCGTAGGAACTGGGCTGGGCTTCATTCTCAGTGCTCTGGAGTTAAGCCGTGGTCTGATTGGCATCAAGGCTGTTTACCTGTTGAAAGGAGTTGTTTACTCCTTTGGAGTTGTTGTTTGTTGTTTACTTGTTGGAAGGATTGGAAGCCTCAGACATTTCTTGGGCTTGTTGAGCTGAGTGGATGGAAGTTGGTCCAGAGCGGGTGGGCTGGCCGGACCAAGGCATCGTGGTGGGGGTCTGTTGAGAGTTTCCCCGGTTGTGTCTGTGGTGGGGACCCTCCTCTGTAGAGGATAAGCGGGGCAGGTGGATGTGAGACTCTGGAACCGCCTCTTCGACAGGAACCGGACATAGTTGCTGGTCATCAGCAAGCCCCCTAGATGCCTACCATCTGCCCGAAATGGCCAGAAATGGGGGAAATAGAATCCATGGGCTTTTAAAATCCAGAGTAAGGGAAACTCCACCTGGGAAACATAACCCCAAGTAGAGTGTGTGGAAGCAGGATGTTCAGTTGCAAACCTTTCTTGAGAACCAGCTGTGGGGTAACGTTATCTGGGCCGCTCCTGCAGCCAGAGGAGAATTTATCTGGGTCCCTGACGCAGGCCTGGTAAACAGAGCTGGCTGTCTCGGATGACCTTTGCCCTGTCCCCCTTCCCTTCCACCTGCTCTTTCTCGGGGGTTTATCGCTAGGGTTTCCCATGCCAGCAGGGCCGGCTCCGAGAGGCTTGAGAATCTAATGTGCGTTGGGGTTTGTGTGGGTTGGGCCGGAATTTTGTATTTGCCTTGCTCACCTGGAACAGTAATCTAGGAGGTTTAAGGTTTGGAGGAAAGCAGATGAACCCTTGCAAGAGGCTGCCTAGATGAAAGAATGGGGTCTGGAGACTGTGCCCAGACCTCTGGGCTTCTGTTTCCAGGGAGATCTCTGATCATTTCCTCAACTCAGGATTTAGACCGTTAGTCCAAGAGGGAGGCTGGGGGAACTTTGGTAAATCCTAAAGGTTTGGGGGTACCTGGGTGAGGATTTATTTCCATACCGCAGCACCCGAGTCCCCTCATGCTCACTCAGAGCATGGGAAGCAGAGAGCAAGCCTTTGCCCAAAATGGAAAGGAAACGTGTTTTGAGGGGAAGCATGGCCGGGTTGCAGCCTGGTGGCTGTGGCCCGCAGGGCTCACGGGGCAACTTCCACCGCCCTGCCCTCTGGATTTTCTCCAGAGGCTTGCTTTTGGGATGGGTTCAGGTCAAGGGTCAGGCAGAGATGGTTCTCTGTGCAGGGAAAGGACTTCTGCAGGGGGTGAGAGGATGCTCTGGTTGTGTGCTGGTGAGTCCTAGTCTGGGATTTGGGAGGTCTGGGCTCCTGTCCCAGCTCTGGCACTAATGGGGTGAGCACACCTGCTATGGTAACGAACATAGTGGGGACCCCAAGCTTGTGCCTACTGAATAGAGGAGGAGCCTGAGGGTCCGAGAGGCTGGGCTGACGTCTCACAGCCAATAGCGGTGGTCCTAAGAGGGAAACCCAGGTGTGACAGACTCCAGAGTGTCTGCCTCTTCTTTGGCAAATCACCATCCTGGCTCTGAGTTTCCTCCTCTGCAGATGGAGAGGCCTCCCAGCTGCCGGAGGCTGTGAGCCTATAATTAATTCTCCCTGGGAGGTGAAGGGAAGCCCCTAATTACTGAAGAGGAAGGAGCATGGGTCATGTTAAGCCCCAGTTAAGCCCTTCCTCCAGGCCCCGCTTGGTTGGCCGGGGAGAAAGGCTGCTGTCTAATGGCCCACAGGCTCTCTCCTGGGAGGGCATTGCCGCTTGGGGCCTCCTTATAGTGTGTCCACCCAGGCAGAGGTCAGGAAGGCAGCACCTGGCCATGTACAGCATCAGCTCCCTGCCTGGGACCTGTGGGAAGGGGAGATGCAGTGGGAGGGGAGATGGAGCCAGTAGGATTTGGGGGTCAAGGAGCCAAGAGTCAGCAGAGGGGATGGGATGGGTTATAATCCCGGTGAAAACCCCAGAGCATCTGGCCACAGTCAATGAAGCCAGTTGTGCGTGAGGGTTTCCTCTGTGTTTCTCTGGTTTTATAGCATTCCTAACCACTGACTTCCATCTGGGCCCTGAGTTCTGCCTCTTCTTTCTCTCAAAATTGACATGACCCCCGCCCCGTTCCTCTAGGTCCATCTCCTATGTAAGGGGCACACAGACTTTTCAGGCCACCCAGAGATTTATTAAGAATGATGTCTTTCAGTTCTGATTAAGTAGTTTGCTTTAAATATCGACACTCTGAAATTTACATGCAGAAAGATATCCTGTGTGGTCCAGAGCATGGCCATTGCATACAGCTGGACCTGGGTTCAAGTCCTTTGCTCTGTATTTTACTAGCTGTGTCACCTCAGGCAAGTTATTTAACTTCTCTGAACCTCAGCTACCTCCTGTACAGAATGGATAGAGGTAACAATGGTAGCTACATCATCGATGAAATGAGCTAATGCTTCTGAGTGCTTTGCACTGTGCTGGACTGAAGTGGCCATTACCTAAATGGTTCCTACCGTTAATTCTATGAGATAGATATTTATATATGATCTAAAGCAAAGCACACCCCTATCTATTATAATCATAGTCAATGGTTTATGTTGGGCTTGTGAAGATAAGGATGGCCTCCCACTTTACTTTCTTTCTTATTGGGGTCACATAAAACAGGTCGTGAATACCCCATGTCCGGGTGGCAACCCTCACTCTTTGCTTTGCTTTATGACCCTCTCCTCGATTTCGGTTCACAGCGAACACTGCGCTGAGCGAGGTGACTCTGTGAGGGGGCTTAGGTGGGGGAGGAGGGGTGGAGGACTCAGAGCTCGTTTGCTTTAGAGGTTACCTGCATAGCCAGACATAAAGCCCCATACCCCTGTGTGCAAAACCCTTGCTGTGGCCTGCGCATTTGTGTCCCCCCAAATCCGTATGTTGGACCCCTAGTCCCCAGTGTGATGTTTGAGGCCGGGCCTTTGGGAGGTGATCAGGTTTAGATGACACCACGAGGTGGGAGCCCCAGGGGTGGGGTGAGTGTCCTCAGAGGACAAGGAAGAGACTAGAGCGCTCTCTCTCCACCACATAAGGTCACAGGACCAGGGAGACCAACTGAAAGTCAGGAAGTCGGTCTTACCGGAAACCTTGATCTTGGACTTCCAGCCTCCATAGCTGTGAGAAGTAAATGTCAGTCGTTTAAGCCACCGAGTCGATGGTAGTTTGTTATAGCAGCTGGGACAGACTAAGACAGCCCTGCTCTGGGCATCCGGGGACTTCAGCTACCCTGAGGCCAAGGGATCTTTGCTCACATTCCTTCCTTCTCACAGTGGCTGAGAGCCCTGGCTTCGCTGGCCATTTTCTTCTCACAGGTGGAGTCCCCCCAGACCTACTGAGTCAGAATCCGTAAGCAGGGACCTGGAATCTGCGTTTTTGTGAAACCTGCCAGGAGATGCTGATGGGCACCCTGGTGAGCGAACCAGAGCTGTGGACACAGCCGCTCCGTCTCTTGGGAGGAAGGAAGCAAGGCAGGAGTCCCATGGTGTCTCAGTGTTGTCCTTGACACCAGAGAGATTGTGTGGCAGGGGACTTTCTCCTTCTTCAGCCAGCAGGCCTGCCCACCTCCTGGGCCAGACTGGCTTGAGGCACCAGCCATGGAGAGCCTGAGCCCCAGGAAGTGGGGTGACACTGGGAACGGGGTCTTGGAAATGCCTTCATTTCAGACAAGTTTACAAATCTGACATGCGCCAATATCTGTCCTGCAAATGGGCCTCTTGTCCAGGGTGTCCGTTTGATTGTTCAGCGCAGCAGAATGTTTTCTGGGCGTGCACTCTGTCCTGTGCCCAGCCCTGAGCTGAGACGTGGGGATACTGGGCTGAATTCGCGCGTCTCTGAAATGGTTATGGTCACCTGATGTGCTTTTCAGAGTGGGTTTGAGGATCAACTACAGCAGAAGTGGTTTGTTAAAAAGGATAGATGCCCCGTTTTAACAATGCACCACCCAAGTGGTGGGAGAGGGCCGGGGTTGTATGGGAACGCTCTGTAATTTCTGCTCATTTTTGCTGTGAACCTAAAACTGCTGTATAAAAATAAAGCCTTTAAGGGGCACCTGGGTGGCCCAGTCAGTTAAGCATTTGCCCTTGGTTCAGGTCATGATCTCGGGGTCCTGGGATTGGGCCCTGCGTTGGGTTCCCTACTCAGTAAGAAGTCTGCTTGTTCCTCTGCTCCTCTCCCCTGTTCGTGTTCTCTTTCTCAAATAAATAAATAAAATCTTAAAAAAAATAAATCCTTTAAAAAGCAAAATAAGATGTAGATACTTGAGCCCTGAAACCCCAGATCTACTTATGCAGAATTTCAGAGCGTGGGCCCCAGCACTGCAATTTGGGAAGACCTCTTGTAGAATCTCATTCTTAAGAGTTGGAGAACCAGTGGGAATTTTTGACAACCCCAATGTATGTTCATTGTATAAAAAACATATAAAGAGAAGAAGGAAATGAAAACCACTTGTAATCCTAATCTAAGATAATCATCCTTAGTAGTTTATTGAATATCCTTCTAGATGTGTGTGTGTGTGTGTGTGTGTGTGTGTGTGTGTGTGTCTGTCTGTGTGTCTGTGTGTCTGTGTTTAAATAAATGTGTGTACATCTGTGTGATACCTGACACTGTGCTGGGTTTTGGGAATGGAGGTAGGAATGGTCATGGCCACGGGGTAACCCTAGTCATGGTACATGGTGCCTGGTACAGTTTGAAGCCTGGCCTTCACCACCCACTCACTTGATCTTACCTTTTCTCCACAGGTATACATCATCAACGTGACCTGGTCCGACTCCACGTCCCAGACCATCTACCGGAGGTACAGCAAGTTCTTTGACCTGCAGGTAAGTTGGTCTGAGTTTAGATGGTACCCAGTTTCTCCTGCAGTGGCCTGGGTCTCTGGGGGACTGGCCTCTCTCATGTCCCCAGTCATCTGGAGAACCCCTGTCCGAGCTCTCGGGGTCAGTGTCTCGGTCAGAGCAGAGGGACAAATGAGGAAACTTTGCCCGTCTAGCTGGGCCTGGCTCAGTCTGGAATATTACAGGCAGCCACTGGACTTTGTGGAATTTGTGGGCTTCCTATGATGATCTTAACAGTCAAGCTTTGTCACCCTCCTCTGCCTGGCGGGTAGGAAACCAGGGTGGGGAGGCAGGAGGATGGCCGTGGGTGCTATGTGCGTGAGCAGACATGTAACTGTAAACAACCAGGGTGAGACACAAGCCACCACGTCATTGCAGGCAAAGAAAAGCAAACACACAGGAGAGACAGAAACAGAAAATAAGCAGTTTCTTGAACTGCAGACACAAACTGGGCATATCACTGCGTCTGTCTCGCCAAGGAAGGCTCTCTCTCTCCCTGTTTGTACATGCGCATGGCGTGTGCGACTCTCTAATGTGCACTGGCGTGTTCACACAGCTCCTCCTGCAGACACCTCCCTTGGTACCAGCTCACTTGCGTAGACTTTTTGAGTCACAAGGGATAGTTTTACACTCCTGCGGCTCAGACAAATGGGAGACTTGGTTGGAAGGAGATACCAGCGGTGGTCGTGCAGTTGACCAGAGGGTGAAGAGGAGAGTGAGACAGTGGACTCTCTAGGAACACCTGCTGACAACACAGCTGCTTTCTGTCTGTGTCTATTCTCTGCTTCTCTCTGGGCCCTGTCCTCAGGTTCCCAAGGAACTCAGCTGTCAGCAGCTCCTGAATTTCATATCTATTCATTCCCCAAACCAGAGAGATGGACTCTCCTAGTTTCAAGTTGAAGAATCCCAGGGAAGACTTGGATTGGCCTGATTTGAGTCAGGTGCCCTCTCTGTACCAATGAGTGTGGCCCAGGGTAGAGGGTCACAGAGGTGACAGCAGGGGATCTAGGCACCCGTCAAGGCAGAATCACCGTGCTTGGACAGAAACACTTCCTATACCAGGAAGGGAAAACTGAGAGGTTCTAGATTATTTCTTAGGGCTATAAGCCTGGTGTAAGCCAATAAAAACACAAAGAAGAGAAACGCACCCCTGGTCCTCACAACCAAGGTCCACTCCTTCACTTGCAGGCTTTTGGTAGTGAGTCATCTTGGAGAGGCCAGGTCTGCGTCTTTCCCCCCAAGTACCTGACTTTATTCCATTGTCCTTATCACTCTACTTATGAGATGAGCCAAAGGTGAGCCAGCTTCCTGTCTTCTGGTAAACCCTGTCTTAGTCCAACAATACGGGTGGAAGCCACTCCTCACCTTCCTGCCTCTTCCTCTCCTCACCTCCCCCATTCCTTTCTGATCTCCTTGGGTCCTTCTGGTATAAACTGGTGGGATTTGCTGATACCCCATCAATGGGTATAGTGTGCTGGACAGGAAATCATAAGTTAGTTGGGGAGAGGGAACCCTGAAAGGACTCATTGATGAGCCAGAGAGGGCCTGTGAGCCAGCGGAAACTCAAATCAGAGCTTTTCTTCCCCCTCTTCTGTTCTGTTCCCTCACCCTCTCCCTAGTTACAGAACCTCGAGAGAAAGGAATGCCGCTCCCCCCTACTTCTTCCTTGCCTGGAGGGCTTATTTCCTGTGTGCTGGGACACACAGCATAGAGCATCTGTGCAATGTGCTGGCTCTCACCACGAGTATGGCCAGGCCTGTCTACATGGGTCATCACCACCTGTAGAGGCAGTTTGGAAAGGGGTTGGGATGGTTCTTTGGAATTTCACCTTTGAGCCAAGTGTAGCATCTTTGTGAGTCCATTTTACAGAACTCATGACATGAGGACTTTCAGTGGTGTTCACTTTGGAAAGCCTTTCTTGTTTATCAGGGTCGCTGACTTTAATATGGCGGCTCCTATAGAGGAAGAATGAGTGACATTGCTTGCTCTGCCTCTGGTCCCTGGTGCCCTTGCAACTGGCCTTTCTGAGTGGCTGTGTGAGAAAGCAGCATAGAGCTTAGGCACTGAGGACACACTGCCTAGGACTGGTTACTGGCTCTGTCACACTGTATAACTCTGGAAACGGGCCTTGACTTCACTAGGTTCTGTTTTCCCATCTGTGGAATGAAGATTTGATTAGTACCCACCCAGGAGGGTTGTCGTGAGGTTTACATGAGCAAATCTATGCAAGATCCTTGGGAAAGGACAGTCTCATGCCCTCACAGCCAGCCCTGAGTGGGTGGCAGTTCGGGGGAGGCAGGAGCGGAAGGAGTGGTGCTTGGAGGAGAGATAGTGTATCTTTGATGTGACCCGTGGCATGAATGAGTTGTTTGGTGAAGCATGGGGGAGCTAGTTCATTCATGGTGTTGGGAAATAGAACCCGCAGATAAGCTGGTAGCACGTTCTGCACTTATCCGAAGCCTTAGGACTTTACAGAGCTGGTCATTTATCTCATTTCCCTCCTCCCCCATGCCACCCACACTCCTTACTTACTGGCTACCTACTCCCTTTGAGGCCCTGGAGTAGGGTCACCAGATAAAATAGGAGATGTCCAATGAATTTCAGATTACTAATGATGGTGGTGATTTTTTACTATAAGTGTGTCCCAAATATTACAAGGGGATGTATTTAGGCTAAAAATGTGATTCGTTGTTTATCTGAAATTCACATTTTATGGTGTGTCCTATATTTCCATTTGGCTCAGTCTGGCAACCTTACCCTGGCTGTGAGTGGTGAGGGTGGTTGTATAAAGACCAGTGAGCCAGGCTGGCCCGGGGTCAGAGTGCACTGGCCTCCAACACATTCGTGCTTCTGCAGGACAGAAGTGGGACGGCCTGAGGAGTACTAGTTGAGAAGGACAAGGTCCCTTCCTTCTAGAAGTCTGGTGGGGAAAGTAGACTTTTAAGCAATGAAGTCCACTGGAGATTAGATAGATCACCAGGCAACGTGCTATGGATGGAGAGGAAGGAAAGAGTATTCCTCTTGGGACAGGGGAACAAGAAGGATGCCTGTACGATTCTGATTGGGACAGCAGCCTCAAGTGGTACAGCCCCATACCCCCACGTCAGTTTGGAGGTCTTTGGTTGCTTTTTGAGAATTACAGTTATTGGGGTAAAGGGTATCCCTAATTTGTCTGTTAATTTGTTTATTCATTTATGCTTGCATGCCTGCTTCCTTCTATCCATCAGTCATCATCCATCTGTCCGTCCATCCATCCACCCACCCACCCACCATCAGTCTATCCAATCTAAGTGCCTATCCTCTATGTGATAGGCGCTATGTCAGTCTCTGGGGATTTATTGATGAGCAGAAGCAGATCTGGTTACTGCTTAATTTATGGGACTTACCCCTTAGTGAAATAAGATGAGTTTTAGTTAAAAAAAATTTTATGTCTATGTCTATATCTATATCTATCTATATCTATCTATCTATCTATCTATCTGTCTATGGCACCTGGGTGGCTCAGTTGGTTAGGTGTCTGCCTTCAGCTCAGGTCATAATCCCAGGGTCCTGGGATGGAGTCCCACATCGGGTCCTTGCTCAGGGCAGAGCCTGCTTCTCCCTCTCCCTCTGCCCCACCCCTGCGTGTGTGCTCTCTCTCTCTCTTTCTCTCTCTGACAAATAAATAAAATCTTCTTAAAAATGATGTACGTACAATTTTATATATTTCAAATGCTACAAAGAAAAGTACTGTAGACGTATGGCTGAAAAACCCTATATTCGGGGATCAAAGCAGGCTTCCCTGGAGAAGTGAGTGGCATCTGACAGATCAAGGAGTTACTATCTTTCATTTTTGAGATCAGGGCTTCTTTTGTGCTTCTAATGAAAGCAAAAGACTCTCTCCTCAGATAAAGGCATGCGTGTACATATATAATTTTCTAACCTTTTTAGTCATTCATACCCCCCTGAAATCCTTCCAAGGGCATGGGGATAAGACCCTGTACTCTGCCCCAACCCTTCTCTCCCCCGTGCACGGCCCCTCTTCCTGCCCATTGGGACGCATGGAGGCTTCACACCTGTGCATTCACTGTGCTAGTCACTAGCCACATGGGCCTATTTACATTTCCATTTAACTTAATTAAAAATTTGAAAGATTAAATTAAATTAAGTTAAATTCCTTTGTAAGAATGAAATGAATCAGCTCTCTTGGCCGTACTTGCTGTCTATAAGTATGCTGTAGCCGCAGTGGCCCGGGGCTCCATACTGACAGGTATGTAATGTTTGTATCACGACTGTGCCGCTGTAGACCATCTGGGACACATATCAGGCTTGATCTGGCTTTATGCCCACCCCGAGGGCCCTGCTACCCTCCCAGACCCTCCCCCATTGCCCTTGCAAATCTTTAGGGCCCCAGCAGGAGGAAGGAGACTCTGTTCCATCGTGGTCTGCCCGATCAGTAGAGCAATTCAATTCAACAGCTATTCCAAACACTTCTGGAAACCGGGTCAGTGCCAGGGAGGGCTTCTGAGGGCATTTCAGGTGTTAAGTTGGGAATAGGGAGAAGAGAGGCTCTCAGTCTCCAAGTGGAAATTGATGTCTTCTAAAAATAATCCACCACTCTGCCTATCTGACCAGGAAAAGGGACATGTCCAGAGGGAACTATCTGGGACAAGCCCTGCCAGGGAGGCCCGTTTGGCCCTAAAGGGCTTGGATTACTTGGAGGTACAGTTAAGGGGAGAAGGAGGACGGTAAAGGGCCGCAGATGTTCTTAAGTCGCCTTCTCCCTGGCACTGGACCACCTTCCCACTCTCTGTAAATGTCCTTGCACAACTCCTTCCCTGTTAAGTAGCCCCCACACCGGGGCAGGACCGGAAGGCTCTCTGAAGGCCCGGCTCCACCGAAGGCTGTTTCACAATCTGACCTCCAAGGCGCTGGGCTGTGGTAATCGCTCCGCAAACACTGGCCCCGTGCTGCCGCTGGTCCTTGGCTCTGAACTCCGGCCAGTG